TACAGTGGCAATGTGATATGTACAGACAAAAGCTAATAGAAAATATGAAGATTCTGTTGTATGCTTGTCATTTGCTCTTTTCTTTGAACATGGCCCTACTACTGCACTTCACTAATGAGAACAAAAAAGATAGAATTATGCTTTGAAGCACGCTCTCTTGTATCTGGCTTGTATTACTTACATCATATTTATGATCAGACGTTGTACAAATCAATCTTATTTGTGATAACTTTGCCTGACAAACAAATTGCAGCAGGTCTGGGCAGCAGTTGTGAAGAGGCATAAAGTCAAAAGAAATGTGAAGCCAGACAATACAGCAGAGGCTTAAAAAAGAGGAGACTGATCAAAATGCACTAGCTTGTTGATCTTGTACGGACTTCCTGACAATTAATTTCTTGTTGTGCTATCTTGGCTACTCACTGTGTCTTACTAAGTTTGATATTAATTTTTATGTAAGGTCTGTGTCTCAGAAATTAAACATTTTGTTTACTATGAGTACTAGAGATGACTTTATTCTCTAGGTAGGGACCAACTTCATCTAAATGTGCCTGAAATGTAGGTGTCTGTTCTAAGCTGGTCATCTACATTTGTCTGTTTTCTACAGAGAAATAAAATTACTTTGGTGGGAATTTGACCAATCCAAAGCTAGAGGTCTAAAAAGCTGAAGTTACTTCTAGAGGGATTTTTTTGTGTCTGCACAATAGCTGTCAAGTTAGTATAACAAAATAATAGATTAGACACAGGTTTTTTAGGTGTCTAAAGTTGTGATCCATATATCCTTCTATGTCTCCTCTGATCTGGAGCTCAAATATGTCAGTTATGATTGATGTTGTTTCTTAACATACTCATGCTATTCTCCTCGAACTAACTTATTCAATGTTCAATAAATCACCACATAACTTCCACTTGAAAATACTTTTGTCTAACTATTAGGATAGATTATATTCCAATATCTTATTTAGTACAAGTTTAATGTGTTATAGTTGTTAAGCAGCCTACTGAGTTATTTGTATATCTGGAATATCTCCACAGCTGAGATGAAGCTGCAGCTGAGCGTGCTCCTTGCAAATTGGAATTCCGTGGTTGGAAGAATATAATTTTGATCCTGAGCATGTCCACAGTAACATTTTTAACTCCAGTCAAGAGTTTCCACAGAAAACCCCATTGTTGTCACCATCTCCTTGCACATTTTTTCACATTGCTTCACACTGCAGAGAGGTTCTGTAAAGTACAACCTGGACCCTTCCAGGTGAACCTCAGCTGGAAGATGTGCTGACCTTTATACACTGCATCCACCAGTGGTCATTCATTCAGCCCATGGGACCGGACAAGAGTTAGGCCATAGTAAAAAACAGTACATAAAAAATGTACGGTGTGGACACGAGGTCCAACTATTCTGTTCTATACTGGAAAATTCCCAGTAATTTCCATTTTTAGCTTCTTCCTCCTCGACTGTAACTAATCTAGTAAATTAAAACTAAAACATTAATCTAGACTGCATCCCTTAATAGATTTAGAGAAATACACATAGAACTGTTACTTCAGAAACCTTAATTTAAAAAAGCATTACTTTTCTCTACATGAGACTATAGATTATTACAAGTAATACAGAAAAAAAAATCTTTGTGTCTCCTCTTCTAAAATTATGCATTTTTAATTTACTTTTCAAGAATAAACTGTCATAGGGAAAAGCTGCTCAATTCATGTGGTTTAAATCAAATCAGATTATTCATTTATTAATGACATATAACTAACAAGCAGTCAGTGAGCTGTACTTACAGGGTGAATATCAGCATTATAAAAGATAAAAGAACTACAATGCCTGACACTTAAAAAAATCAGTAAAGAGTTGCAAGTTCTAAACACCCTTCTATAAGTAACTCCTAAGAAGTTCTAACTGCACACTGTAATGTATGGGAACCTAGCTGAGAGCTGATTCCCTCTAATGACTGAGAGACATAACAAAGGATGTTGTTTGCCCCAGTAGTAGAGTATGTATGTTTATGTTCATTGTGACTGTTTGTCGGAAAGAGACAGGAAAACATAGGTGTGCAGTCCTTCTGTGACCTTCATACTTGGCCGCACTGGGGTGCCTGGCCAATGCTTTCGGTGTGGATAATGGTGAGATCATGAGAAACTGTACACAAGTAAACAATTAGAGATTTGGCATAAAGCCAGTTGTTTTGATAAGTGCATAAAAGTGGGACCCTCTTGTGGCCATGAGAGAAGCCTCACCTATGGGTGGACACACTGTGTAGGAATTTTCCCTATTACCTGAGACTCCTGGCATTGGCTGCAGTGGGGCTTCACAGCTGGAAGTGTGGGCCTGGATGATTCAGTGGTAATTGGTGATGTATTTCTTCTTAATCTCTGGTCTATCTATACTGTAATAATTTAATGCATTGCTAACTTTCTTTGGTACTTATATACCTATATCTCTTTGCTTTATTCACTATATGTAGAGAGATATTTACCTAATTCACATTAGTGTGCTTGCTTGAGTGTGCTTATTGGCTTTAGTGTGCTTGTTTAATAAACTGCATATTATACAGCTAGTGTGTGGTCATTTTGTGGCGTACCCTGTCTGTCGGCAGAACACACACGCAATCACACAGAGCTAGGTGTGTACCATGACAGCCCCAGGCAGCCCTATGGGTGGGAGTGGGAATTCCCCCATGCTCCATGTGGGACATGTGGCTGCTCCAGCATCAGGTAAGCTCCTACCACTCACTGACCCACACAGACTGAAAAAAACCCCACAAGACTGCACACACACCTAGAGGGTCCCTGTGTGTTAGCCCACATGGACAACCCCTGTCTGGGTGCAGGCCCTCTATGGGAGGGTGCTCTGTCCAGGCGGAGGGAGTTTGCAATGTCAGTGGCCACTTCTCACAATGCCAAACCATGGCCAGCTGCTACACTCTTCCCGCCTCCCCTTCCCCACTTTTACAAATTGTCGTGCTTCTTTTGCCCTTCTTTTCAAGCTGACCTTTGCTTCACAGGACTGTAATTCCCTGGTTACTACTCAGTCCAGATATTGGTCATCTTTCCCTCTGGCACAGTAAGTTTGGAGCAAATGTCCCTTAAGACAACTTGATGTATTTTAGTCAACACACGTGGGATGCCCTCACATTTCTCTTTTTCAGCTGTTGCTGTCCAAGTAATTTTGCAGTGGGAGAACCATGTGATCACCCTTCCAAATCATTATGTAAGGGAAAACAGGTTTCTGAAGTCAAAAACTGAGTATTTCTGTTAATACCTTTCTGTATCATTATGTGGAAAACCAAAACAAACCTCTTCATTTTTCATATACAAATATTGTCATTCTTTGTTGCATTAGGCTAGTGAGAACAACTTTCAGGTTCTATCAAAACCCTAAATCTATGAATTTTCAGATCACAGAATGCCCTTCAAATAACACCGAATCGTAAAATAGGAAATATTATTAACTGCACTTAAAAAAAAATACATAAAAGGCACAGAGTGTAAGTGCCTATCTCAGAAAAAAAGCTGCATTCTTCTTTGTTAAGATTTTAGAGTGACACATGAAGATCCTGTTCTGAAATCTTCACACTGGTCGCAGGAAAAAAAAAAGTAAATCTTAAGTGTTGTGTATTTCTGGACAGATTTTTTTCTTTGCCTGAATTTCCTGAAATTGCTTGGAACAGATATTTTGATCAGGTATTCAGAGCATGAAAAAAAATATATCCTCATCAAGAAGAGACAGATTTATTAATTCAATTTATGTCATGTGGGGCTGACACTTTGCCATGATGATTAGTTTTTAAATTAAGAAAAATTGTCCTTGCAATTAATGATAATAGTCAGAGAACTTAGAAACAAAAAATCTTCATTTGTCTAACATCATATATTCATTGACTGCAGTTTTACTCAGTCACCTTTTAGTACATTTGGAAAGAATTCAAAATCACAAAGATCAACCAGCTTTAGCCTGATGCTGCTAGAAGAGCTAAAACATATTTAGGCTTTGAATACTAATTACCGTGCTGCTTTAAAGGTTACAACAGTCACTTTCTCCCAGGGAGGTCATAGTTCTGATTGAATAAAGGCTTAATTATAGAATATTATGGAATATTGCAGTGAGCTGCAGCAACAAAGCCATCAAGTGAAATTCTTTCTTTGGCAGTCCTAAAAAGATAATAAAGGCATTTGAAAAAGAGAAAAACACATTCCTCAAAAAAAAAAATAATAAAAAAAAAATTGAGGCAATTATGGATTAATAGTTTGTTTGTGTTTTTCTCCAATACTATAGAAGAGAATAAAGATATTACTGCTATTCTAACTACTGTGCTTACGATTATTAGAGACTTTTTATGAGAAAGCCGTATTAAACACTATGTAACTATAAGGATATGATTCTTACCACTGCACTTGTAGCAACCATTTTGTAAAAAAATACAAGGACTCATCAGATACGATACTTGCTGACATTACTGATAAATAAGTACTAATTAAATATGAAAATATTCTTTTGGGTGCAAGGTGATACATTCCATTTGATCATGCTTAACCTTGCATGCAGAAATTTATGCCACCATAACGCAGGCCATATAGCATTCCATATTTAGAACTTAATGCTTATATGATCTTGCTTTTAAACTTTGCAGCTGGATTTTGTATCTCATTGTGGGAATTTTACTACAGAAAACATTGTGGTAAAAGTCTGACAAGTGGAAACATGGGACACATCTAATTTCTTCTTCTTTTTCCATGCCTTTCCTCTTCTTCCACTTCATCTATATTGTGAATCCCTTCTACCTAGTGAATTTTCATTCTTTCTATCACTGAAAAAATAACTGCAGCCAATGCAAAGAGATCTGTTCCCCTCTGCCAAAGCAGGTGAAATGTACTGCAAGGCCTTTTTTTCTTTAAGGACCTAAGGCTTCCACTGTAGTCTTCCCTAAGAGCATGAAGGCTTTGTCGCAGCAGGCAAAGGTAGCTCAAGGTTGCAGTCTCTCTCATCTCAAACTGCTCCAGGACTGCAGATCTTCTGAGTCCTGGGGCCCTCTTCTGGCAAATTTGTCTGAACTGATAATTCGCTTGGAAAAAACAGCCAAGTTTTGTCTTGATAAGCAGCTGTCAGCAGTGCCTAAATCAGTAATGTCTATCTGAAAACTTCCATATGTTTTAAGATAAATTCTAATAGACTTCTGACTTCCAGGTGTCTGACAGGATACGGTCTGTAGGAGTTAAAAAGTGAGTACCTGGCTTAATGGTTTAATTTGGACATAGTTCAAGGTCTTAACTATGAATGATAGGCAGAGTGGATAAGTGAAGTGTTCCACCTTAGCTGGTTTCAGAAAAACAAAATCTCAGTCCTAGTCTTTTGGTCATTTTGTTCTCAGTTGCAAGACAACCAGCAAATGTGTCATGCTTTGTTTCTAAAACCTGATAACCACAGTACACGAACAAAAAATAGCAGTGCAGTTTTCCCTGCAATTTCCAAGGAAAGAGAGAGAACCTGATTTGTTCAGATAAAATCTCCCTAGTAAAGGCTGAATTGCCAAGGATTTACCTGCTATCTTCCTAATAAATATCCTCTGTGAAACTGGAGTGTATTCTTTCCTAGGCTTTTTCCTGCTCCGTTTACAATTTTCTTTATACTTCTTTTTATATTTGTAAGTATGTTTATCCATATCACAAGTACAATAATTTAAAGAGCTACGTAGTTCAGGACAATTTTGGTCCACAGTAAGAAGCATTTAAATTAATGTGTTAGGGAGCCTTGTTCTCAGTAAAGAACTGGAGATAACACTTCTTTGCAGAAAAATTATGTGCTAAGTTTTTTTCACCTTACATACAGTTATCAAATGTATAAAATCTTCAGTCTGTACTGTTGCATTGATACAGAATTATTTTCAAAAGAAAATAATTATTTTTCCCAAATGTGGCCTCTGCAGTAAGGAAAAACAAACCGAAGACAAACAGCATACTGAGTGAGTTCCAGTGCCTCCGCTGGAGACATTTAACTGAGACTGTGACCTTTAAAAAAAAAAAAGAAGAAAAGAAAAAGCCCAGAAGATGAAAAGATGGGAAGATGTGTTGTGAATATGTGGATGCCCTGTAGCTGACTCTGTATCTGGTGACCTAAAATTATCTTTTTTTTGCCTTACAGGGTTTTTAAGTACTGGGGACCAAGCTGCAAAAGGCAATTATGGATTGCTTGACCAAATCCAAGCTTTACGTTGGATTGAAGAAAATATTGGATCTTTTGGAGGAGACCCAAAAAGAGTTACTATTTTTGGATCTGGAGCAGGAGCTTCCTGTGTCAGTCTCCTGACACTCTCTCACTATTCAGAAGGTAACAATCCTCTGAGCAAAGTACTTTTTTGTCCTCTTTTTTTTTTTTCTTTTCTTTTCCTTTACATTACAGCATAACAAAAATGGCCATTTCAGGTAGGCTGAATTAGAATCATATGAGGTCTGTAATTTTTGTAGAATACCTACTAGCTAATATTCTGGATTTGTATTAGTCAACATAAATATTATTCTATGAAAAATTAGATGCTAGTATAGCAGAAATTTCATGCAACAAATGCCATGGGCAGTATACTTTTTTTAGCTTTATCAGCAGTCTCCACTGGCTCTTCTATCAAAGAATTTGCCATAATTAAAATGGAAAAGGGAAGTGACCTTTTTCATTTTTTACACACTCTTGTCTGCATTTCCAACATGTATTTAGATGCTTTTCTTACTTAATAATAACATAACTTAACCTTATTAAAAATGTATTTAACTAGGAAGTTAAATCACAAGTACTTTGTGATCCCACACAGAGTTCTTAAGATTTTGGTAAGTGTTTGAGCTGTGGGATTTCTATCCTCAATACCTCACCCTTCCACGCCCTACCCCTCTCCCCCCCAGAAACAAAAAAAGACAAAGCTTGACAGTAAAAACCATGTGCAGAAGAGACCCAGGCATTTTAGTTTATGTATAAAATCGTCCATATTAGTGATCTTACCATGAAAAAACAGATGGAGCAGATTCACCAGTAAGCTTTTCAGTGCTGTGACACGAAGCACCTCTGCAGACTTGGTCTTTCGTCTCTCCTTATATTAGTACATATTAAAAAAAAACCAGAAAGAACTATTGAATCTCATCCTACATATTTCCAAAATAATTTAAATATATTTTAATTCAACATATAGGAAATGCTAACACACACACACAAATTAAAATGGTAAAGAAAAAATTATGTCAGAGTAGAAGACTCAAGCCTATTAAATTGATTGTAGCAGAGCAGATTTTTTTCAAATTATGTGATGTATGGCTTCTGTGAAGGAAATGAGAGTGTGTAATTTTCATTTGACCTTTAAACTACTGACGAGAGCATATATGAGAGTCATTTACATGGCAAAGAGGATATGATTGCTTGTATCTGCCACTCCTTTAAAGAAATTTTTACAAGACTACCACTGTGCTAAAGCCAGGGGACTTCCATTAAAGATGCAAGAAAACTGCAGTACAAGCATGAGTTTTGTTCCTGAAGCAGTAACCTGAAACCATCAGACTTTGTGTGGGTGAGCCTCAAGAACAAGAGGTACTTTACTTAGTAGCCTCTTAGAGATACTATAAAAAGGTAGCAGTGAGTAGAATATATTAAAATTTAATTGAAATTTAGGTATATGCATCCTTTAGTGATTGTTCAATCAAAACTTTCTTTGCTTAGTGAAAGCTGCTTTTAATTTTTATTTTTTTTTTAACATATATATATAATTGGATTTGCATTTAAACAATTTGCACCTGCAGGTTTATTCCAAAAGGCAATCATACAGAGTGGAACAGCCCTGTCCAGCTGGGCAGTGAACTATCAGCCTGCCAAGTACACTCGGATATTGGCAGATAAAGTGGGCTGCGACATGCTGGATACCACTGATTTGGTTGAATGTCTTCGGAATAAGAATTACAAAGAACTCATTCAACAGACCATCACTCCAGCCACGTACCACATTGCCTTTGGGCCTGTGATAGATGGAGACGTGATTCCAGATGACCCTCAGATACTCATGGAGCAAGGGGAATTCCTTAACTATGATATAATGTTGGGCGTGAATCAAGGGGAAGGTCTAAAATTTGTGGATGGCATTGTAGACAATGAAGATGGTGTTTCCCCCAATGACTTTGACTTTTCTGTCTCCAATTTTGTGGACAATCTGTATGGTTATCCAGAAGGGAAAGATACACTGCGAGAGACCATTAAATTCATGTACACCGACTGGGCAGACAAAGAAAATCCTGAAACAAGACGGAAGACTCTGGTTGCTCTTTTTACAGACCACCAGTGGGTTGCTCCAGCTGTTGCTACTGCTGACCTTCATGCCCAGTATGGATCTCCAACATATTTCTATGCATTTTACCACCATTGCCAAAGTGAAATGAAACCCAGCTGGGCTGATTCAGCTCATGGCGATGAAGTCCCTTATGTGTTTGGGATTCCTATGATTGGCCCCACAGAACTGTTCAACTGCAACTTTTCCAAGAATGATGTCATGCTCAGTGCAGTGGTTATGACATACTGGACAAACTTCGCCAAAACTGGGTAAGTTTGACCCCCAGCATTCCTTTTTGTTGACAGTACAGTTCTAAAATAGTCAGCATCCCGGTGCGGTGGCTTCAAACCCTGATCTTGCAGTAGTTTTATAGCACTACTTGTGTAATATGGAAGGTAACTGGGGCTTATTCATATTTAATAGATTTTTAATTAGTGTGTTCCCTCAAACTATTTTCTTTCAGTAGCTCAGTAAGAATAATAATGCACTGTATTTTTTGTTCAAAAAATAGGGGAATTATTAAGACAAAGCACGTCTCAGAGAAAAGAGGGCTCACTAAGAGACTGAAGAATCAGAAGCAACATGTCTGCTACTTGAAGAAGGACGTGTCAGGCAGATAGCACGTATCAGCTACAAAAGAAAGGAAGGTGTTTTTAGCGACCTTCACAGGGATGGGAACTCAGGGAGGAATTGGAACAGAAAGGCAGACGCTGGAAAGAATTTTCCCTCTGAGGACTGTAATGACAATAATAAGTACTTGACTGGAATGAAGAAAAGAGATAAAAGTTTTGCTTTGAGAAGGTTAAAAAATTTAAATTAATTCTGCTTATGAAACAAGACATCAGTGTTTTGCTGAAATAGCATTGTAAATATCAAGGAGAGAATTCTCAAGGCAGCTTAATCTGCAAGTGCTTTTAATAATTTCTGTCCTCTTCCTATCACATTACTTTGAAAAGTATTGCAGTGTTTTACTTGAGCAGCAAGGCCTTTTTTGTTAACCTTGAGTCTTGGCTACTGAATTAAAACAAAGATACTTGTGGCACAAAGGGGCTGTAAATCTTTCCAATGAATGTTGAATGGCAGGATTGGGCTCTGGAAACTGCAGTTTTACTGCACTGCAGTCAATGGTATGCAGCTATATAAGAGAAATTCAGAGATGCCTAGCGTGAAACACTCAGAGGCTTCAGCAGCTCTTGCAGCCTTTAGTGAATCCAAATGATGTTCAAGGGAGAGAGATTTTGCAGTCTTAACAAAACCTCAAGCATGAATTCAGTAAAAAACAATCAAATGCTTCAGGTCAATTTAAAAGGCAAAAAGAAAGCTTTTGTTGCATTTTAGACAAACAGGTACTTTTGCATGGAGAAATCCCACAGTACTGCACCAATAATGAATGAACCGTGGAATATTTAAATGCATTTGGCAACAGGAAGGCATCAGGGCAAACTTCAGGGTGAAAGCTATGTTTATGGACAGAGAATGCCACATGCTGGCTGTAACACACAATCAGAAAGACGATTATCCCATCAGTCTGTCTTTATTTTTATAGATGAAGTGGCACATATACAGAGGACTTCAGATCCTCACAAATATATATAGCTGGGATTATTATGAAGATGCAAGATCTCCACAGTCTATTACTTACAATTACTCTATGACTATTCCCTGTAGAATAAGAAGTCATATTTAAGCAATTTTTTGGGGCTGTCAAGAGCTTCTCACAGTCCCAGCTGCCACCATCACTCGTAATTGCAAGCACTTTACAGCTGTTGCTACTTGAAAGCTAATTTCAGCAGGCTATACATGCCACACCCAGTTCTCTGGTTATGAACCCACTGCAGTATTGCACCTAAAGGCACAACAGGTACTTTGGGAGAGCCATTAGTCATTTCTGAAACTTTGCCATTGCTGATAACAGAAATGGAGGGTGTATCTTTTATTGCAAACTTGCTTCTTTATAGGTGGTCTAAAAGATGTGTCATTAAAAAAATTACCTCTAGCTGTAAAATTTTAGTTTTCACAAGGAAAGGAGCAACATGAGATGCATGACTTGCCATTTTAGTTTGTTTGTTTGTTTATATGAACAATGATTAATTGTTCTGTATAGTGCAACATAATATTTTTCAGGAAATAGTACTTTAAGATTACATTTGCTCTGCACCTTTGATGCCTCCAATGGAGAAGGGAAGGTTGTAGCACCTCAAGCCTAAGGGAACAAGGGACTTACTGGGGTAACCATTCTCCTCTCTACCCTCCCACATGTAATCTGGAATCCATGTGCCCACTCAGGTCCTCCAACTCTCAAAAAGATGGATACAGTTCAAGACTGCATTGTGGGCGGCTTTGTTTTGTTTTTGTTTCCCCACCCTTTTTTTAATTGAGCATTTCCCATCCTTATTCTGATAGAGCTTGGCTTGCTTTGTGTTTGTACCCATAGCAACACATATGAAAAATCTGTTAAGTGAAAGATTTTCTTATTCCACGTTTCCCTGTTGGTGAGCCTTGAACATTAACACTGCAGATTTATTTATTTCATTTTAATGTATCTGACATTTTTCCAGTCTTGATGACTCTCCCCCAGAGGTTGCATCCAGATACTTATTGTAAAATTATGGCTCAGGTGGTTCATCGTTCTGATGGACTGTGTTGGGCTTTTAACTGATATGCCACCTGCTGCTAAAAAACACACATTGTTTAATGGGCCTACTGCCAAGGCCCGGTTTAGAGGGCAGGTCAAGCTTGTAGAATCACTAGGTGTCAAAGAAACAGCACAAGGCACAGTGCCTTTATTGTGTATTACTTTAAAGTCAGTTACTGAAGCTAGCAAACAGGAGGTGACAATTAGAGTGTTTAATGGCAAATGGATTGTGCTTGAAATGAATACCTGGAAGCCGCATTTTGATAATCTTCCATTTTCTACCTTTTTTTGGCCTTTTTTTTTTCTTTTTACAGTGTTTTGGCCTTTTCAAAACTATGTTTCTAACATGCCTTAGAAATAGGGAAGCAATTTGTTACAGAGTAGATGTGAGAAACTACATCTGGGATACAAAAATTACGTGAAAATACAGGTTTTGATTCCACTATGTGCAAAATTATATGTGAGATCTTCATTAAGAGGTGCACTTAAAGCTTCAGTCTGCTGCCAGTAGTACTATCCTCCCTGTTAAGGCTAATCTTATATGTTCAAATGCTCTGTTAGTTAGGGCTACATTAGATCCTTCACAGATACATCAGCAGGGGAAGAGTGAACAACATGAGGAGATGTGTGCCAGTTCTTCACAAATACACTGCCAGACACACTCTTGTGAAGAAGGATTTGAACTTTCATAGAGTAGATAAGAAGCCATGCTTTCATTAGAGGCATCTGTCGGGTTTCTAAAAATTACCTTCTTTTAGGGAGTTACAGTACTGTATTTTCGCTCCCAATCATCCAGCTCTACCTTGCTTGGTGATGGGAAAGATAAAGACCTAAAGGACATATCCTTGTTTTCCTTGTAACTCAGATAAATGCTTCTGAATTATTTTACTACTTTTGATTCTGAAGCAGAAACCTAACTGAGCTATTAAGGATGTCTGTGGTTTATATTCAGTTTGGCTTTCAAATGGAAGACACAATTAAACTCACAATGATTAAAGTGTATTTTCAAATCAATTTTCTGTGAAGTCCTTTATGACGATTCTGCATTTCTTTTTGATAGTTCTGTCTGAAGAAATAGATGTCTCCAATGGCCAATCCATGTTAGCAAAAAAACCCTACTGTAGTTATGGTTTACTTTCCTTAGTAGTTATAATAGCTGACTAGGAGCATGGCAACAGTGAGACCTGGTGATAAGTGAGGGAAGGAGGGTAAGGTAAAATATGCTTGTGTACCAGTGCTTCAGGCAGAAGTGTCTGTACCATTGTAAATATTATGACAACGTGAAAAATCAGTAGGAGCATGAAGAAATGCCACGAAGTTTTTGTCTCTCTTTTTTTTTTTTTCCTTTCCCTTCCCACCCTCCCCTC